GAAGATGGAGATTGTGAAACAGCTGCTGCTGCATGACGCGCCCCTGCAAAAGAAGGATAAGCGCGGGCGAACGCCTCTCATGCTCGCCTGCGAAACAGCCAGCGCGGATGTTGCAGCCGCGCTGCTAGACAATGGAGCGGACCTCCGCGCGTGTTACCGTGGCGACGGAACAATGCAGCACGCAGCCGTGGCCGGCGGGAACGCGCGGGTCTTATCGCCGGCTTGCTCTGGCCAGCTGAACATCATGCGCCTGCTACTGGAGGCCGGCGCCGACCCCAACGTCGCCATGATGAACAGTAGAGCGACGCCGCTGATGATGGCGGTGAGTAAGGGCGAGGAGGCGGTGGTGCAGATGCTGCTATCACACGGCGCTGACCCCAAAGCCGCGAACTCGCACGGACAGACCTCCCTGTACTACGCGGCTAGCTCTGGCCAACTGGACATCATGCGCCTGCTACTGGAGGCCGGCTCCGATCCCAATGTCGCCGAGACGAAGAGGGGAGCGACGCCTCTGATGCAGGCAGTGAGTAAGGGCGAGGAGGCGGTGGTGCAGATGCTGCTCTCACACGGCGCCGACCCCAAAGCCGCGAACTCGCACGGACAGACCTCCCTGTACTACGCGGCTAGCTCTGGCCAGCTGGACATCATGCGCCTGCTACTGGAGGCCGGTGCAGACCCCAACATTGCCATGACGAACAGTAGAGCGACGCCGCTGATATTGGCGGTGAGTAAGGGCAAGGAGGCGGTGGTGCGGATGCTGCTCTCACACGGCGCCGACGCCAACGCCGCGGACTCGCAAGGACAGACCTCCCTGCACATCGCGGCTCGCTCTGGCCGGCTGGACATCATGCGCCTGCTACTGGAGACCGGCGCCGACGCCAACGCCGTCGATACGGAGAGCGGAGCGACGCTGCTGCTGATGATGGTGAGGGAGCGCAAGGAGGCGGTGGTGCAGATGCTGCTCTCATACGGCGCTGACGCCAATGCCGCGGACTCGCACGGACAGACCTCCCTGTACCACGCGGCTTGCTCTGGCCAGCTGGACATCGTGCGCCTGCTACTGGAGGCCGGGGCAGATTCAAACGTTGCCGATACGGAGAGTGGAGAGACGCCGCTGATGATGGCGGTGAGAGAGGCCGATGAGGCGGTGGTGCGGATGCTGCTCTCACACGGCGCCGACCCCAACACCGCGGACTCGTACGGACACACCTCCCTGCACATGGCGGCTCTTTCTCTCCAGTTTTGCAAGCCCGCCTTCATCGCGCGCCTGCTAATGAAGTACGAAGCGTCGCTATATATATCCGACAACGTCGCCGAGACGGAAGAAAGAGAAAGTTTCCCCGCATTAGCCTACTCCTGGGATCAACTTCTAACCGAGGTAAAACTACGGGTGTACGTTGCGAATGATTGAGACCGAATTTTAGCAATGTCCTAATGTAATTTCTTATAGATGGTAAAGGTAATCAGTAATAGTAATCGGTTAACAGTTATTAATCGATATGTTAAATAGTTTTACCGCATTACACTACTCCTGCAATCTACTCGGGACCGAGGTGAAACTGCGGGCGTGCGTTGTGAACGACGGAGACAATTTTAGCGATGTTCCAATGTATTTTTGTCTAGATAATAAAGGTAATCAGTAATAGTAATCGGTTAATAGTTAATAATTTAATAATAGTAATAGTTAGTAATCGGCAACAGTAATAAAGGTAGTATGCTCGGAGAAACTTGTTCTTTTAGGAACGAACCTAAAATCGGGTTGTTAACGATCCTCGTTTCTCTCGTTTACACAGATAATTACTCACCTCTTGAAACACGGAGCTGACCCGAACCTCGTCGATTGTAACAAGAGGACGCCACTTGCTTTAATAGGAAGCCAGGCAGAGGGGAGAAGCCACAGAATGAGTGAGCGAGCAGCAGAAGCAGCAACAGCAGCACAAGCGGCGTCAGTGGTACAAGCGGCGTCAGCTCTCCTACAGACGTGCGAGTCCGCCGGCGTACTTCTACAGGTTAACACACGCGACAGCGAGGGCGACACCCCGCTGCACAGCTTCTGTAGGGCGATGCTCGCATGCAAAGACGATGTTTACGCGCGACAGAGGGAGGGGTGCGTGCAGATAGTGCACGCGCTGCTGTTCAACCACGGTGCACACGTCGACGTGGTGAACGCACGGGGAGAGACGCCGTACGAACTCTGGCGCCGGATTTATCCGACACGTTTCCTCCTCGGCAACATGGAGTCGAGCAACGAGATAGATGGCAGAATGAACGCGCAGTATCATTTGCTGCAGTGCCACTGCGCGCGCGTTATCGTCAGACACAGCGTTGCATACGATAACAGGCTGCCTGCGCCTCTCATAGAATTTGTCAGGGCACACGCTAGACCAACGTAGGTGACACTAAGCGTGTTAACCAAGGAAGCCCATGTAGGATCGGAGATGCGATAACCCAGAAGATATTATCAATACTTGGTAGATCTATGTTCTAATTGTTGCACGTGTTGGCAGACGTGTTTCACTGCAATGTAAAATCGAGTATATGTAGTAACACTATTCAGTTTATATAGAAATGTGTAGATTATCGGTATGATGCCTTGTTGAATTGGCGCGATTTAATAACCACGAGTGCAAATGTTAAAAGTTTGCAAATCATTTTGCTCTGTAAAAAAATATAAAGGCTTAGTTGCGTTCTGAATATTTAAAAAAATAAAAAACCATTTTACCATGAAATGTATGCAATTCGGAAATGTGTGCTCCTGCTACCACACACCACCAAAAAAATATAATCATTAATGACCCACTGTTCAGACGATCCACTTGTCATAATATACCCATTAATAGGGTATATATATATATATACTATAGACTGTATATGCAGTCCAACCAGTGAAAAAAATACACGGGTGCTCGGGGCGATTTAGCCCCCGAAATGCCAAAAAGAGCCCCCGTAAATTTGCATAGAGGTCAATGCAAACCAAATTTTAGAGTGCTATTTTCATGTACGCGAGCTTGAAAAGTAGCCCCCGAAAAATAATTTTTTTTTCCCTGAGTCCAACCATAGACTGAAGCGACACTACGCCCTAGACTTATAGGGAATAAGCCTGTTATGTTTGATGCTCAAACATGTGCATAGTCAACGCAGATATCTTTTTTGAATAACTGGAATGCTTCCACACCATGCGTGCATACCACGCGAGACGCGACACAC